CAGAGTGCTAGGATTACAAGCGTGAGCCACGGCGCCCGGCCTTTTGCCCACTTTTTAATGGGGTTGGTTTTTTTTCTTGCTGATTTGAGTTTTTTAAGAGCCTTTTCATATAATTATCAATATTTTTCTTTGATACTATCAAAATTCAGTAAAAGGCATTCCTTAAAGGTTCATTATAATGTGGAATTATCAATAAACTTACCTTACTTTGTTTTACATTAAAATCCATTGGTTTATCTAGCATGTTGAGTAGATATTTTAATTACATATGCATAATTTAACATCATGCAGTGGTCATTTTAAAAATATTGGTCCTATGAGTTATATAAATCTTCCAAATGTTGGCACATTTTATTATTCAATATCAAAAAAACCCCACATTTATTAATATCTCCTCCAATCTCATCAGAGAAGTCTTTAAATATTGAGAAACTGCCAAGTTCATGTTTTCTATAATTCAAATTTTATCACTGACAATAAATACAGTTGTTTTCCTTGAAGTGACAAACTCACTTGATTTATTTTTGAGAAAATATCTGCCCGATACTCAAACCTGAACAAACACAGTTTATCTGTCATTCTTTCAAGTAAAAATGGTGTTCCACAAAACAGGAACTTGTTTAGCTTGCAATTCAAAAATTCATGAGTACTTTTCGTTGAGATAATCATCACACTTCATTATGCAACAGATATTTTATGCATACTTCCCATTTTGTCCCACAGAATTTTAAAAAGACATGTACTCAATGGTCAAGACTCAATAAAGCAACTTTTACTGCTTCCTCAAGGACATTTTTAAGTGAAACTGGAATTATTTATTTTTACTACACGTGCACAGTGTGAAGAATACAATGACTTCTAGTACAATTTGGTACAACTCCTTGATTCATGCTAAGGTGCCAACAGTTTTACCCACCTTTGCTTTTGCACTGTCAGTGTTTTTGCAACACAGGCAATAAGGCAAATGACATCCTAGTATTATTATGAAAATAATTCTGACTTGACAGATAACCTTGAAAGAGTCTCGAGGGTGGTAGGGGTCTGTTGATCACACTTTGACAAATACTGTATTAGGTAAACCAATTCTTGTTTTGGTATGAAGATCTGGGGACTTAATATTATGCTAATCAGCACCTTCATAAAGAAACAACATTTATTTATATGGTGGCCAACCCCATGACAAGTGACTCAAATAAAAGAAGACTGTCTATAAAATCAATGGACAGCAATGATCTGTGATGGAACATTTACCCATTGTCCTTAAACCTTAAGATAGGATCACAGAAGTTGGTTTTAATTTGCTTTAATCAGTATTCTAGGGCAGTATTTGCTCTAGATCCAGTCACTCCTAGAGACTCAAGAAATTCCAAAGTGCGCTAATATATAGTTAGGTATTTCCCTTGATCAGTGATAGATTTCATTACTATGGCTTTCACTCCCATACTATTAATATTAATTCAACAGAGTAAGGATTCTTAACCTGAACTCCCCACCTAGGGTAATTTAAGTAGTTCACTTGATTAATTACAGGTGACAGGTATTGCTTTCATTTTGAAGAAGGCCCCTAAAATGAGGGAGAACTTTAAAAAATATTTTCCAAAGTACAATCTCTTGTAACCAATGAACTAAAATATATAGTCATAAAAACTTACCTCAAGTAAGAAGTTTTTAAATTTAATAAGAAAATCTTTTTTCATCATCGATTTCTCCAGTATTAAAAAAAGTTCCCATGTAGGGACAACTCAAAAAATATGAATTCCTATTAAGAGTAGAATAAGATTACCACGATATTGTTTTGTCTTTTTCAGTGTACCAGAAAAGTACTCCAAAAGTATCGACACTAACTCCATTATAAGCCCACCAATTAAAGGCAAAATAATATAGATACCTATTACAAAAGCACTGCTAAAGGCAGACAAAAAGGAAAGAAATGCATGCTCTACACATGGCCCAAGAAAAAGAAACTGTTTGGGGACTTCCAATTGAACAAAATGGGTTACTAATTTTTAAAAGATGAAGGAATAAATGACCTAAGGTTTCAGAATACTGTATTCTACTATTCCCCAACTTGGATCCTCTACTAAGGCTGGTATCCTCACCATCTCCCAAATCATACATACACTGCTTTTTCCTCAAGCTGCTTCCTTACACTAAAACCTTCCTCTCCTCATCAATAGGTCCAATCACCCTTCCACGTTTGAATCAACTCTAATTTCCTCCACATACAGTCAGGTTTCCCTGACTAACCATACACCTCCCCAAAGATCAAACCTAACTTCTAAACATCAGAGCTCCCTAATCCACTCCCACTAATACTAACACACATACATATGTGCGTGCATGCACACACACACACACACACACACACTCTCTCAAGAAAAACATATGAAATACATAAAAATTAAAAAAAGAAAAGAAAAAAAGCAAGCTAATAACCAGAGATTTGTTTTCAAATACATGCTTGGCATCATTCACTATAGATTCGCCTTAGTCAGTATGTACATTCAATACTGTACTTAATACGAATACTTAAGTTTTTAAAAACTGAGATACTACAAGATTCTGAAACATTACATGTATATGCTATTTATAAAGGTGAACATACAATCTAATTCATTTGCAAAGATTTTAAATAAAGAGTTGGAAAAAATTTAAGTTAACCTTCAAATATGGGAACACTCAATACCTCGTTTCCCTGAATTCCCCAATTCCCCATTTTCAAGTTAACTGGGATTTTACTGTAGTTCACCCTTTTTCAATCAGTCTTAGTAAAAATGGATTGTGGTATTGTCTCCATAACTTTTTTTTTTTTTTTTT